ACAAATATTATACGACACTCAAATGGACTAGGACGACAAACCAAACAGGTGATCTTGTCCTCATAATATGTAAGCTTATCGCTGTCTGTGTTTAGTGTTTGCTAGTACTATCTGATTTTATTTAAAGATAAACGGTTAAGATTCTATTGGTTATGTAATATCCCACTGATATGTAGGTAAGACAAACCGGCTTTATCAAAGGACATCTTAGAGGGACCATTATTTCAGGATATTCGGGGTTTACATGTATGTGAATTTTTAAAGCATTTCAACATAAAATTACTTATGTTCTAATGACCGGTCTTCTTGCTAACTTCTGAACAGTAATTATTATATGTAATGTTTATAAACTCGAGCAACGATGACCAATCTGTAAACAGATAATTACGTACATCTTCGAAATGTGATTAGAGGTTTGGTCTTGGGGTTCAAAAATAATCATTATTGACCATAAAAACTAACAGACATTTCATGAGTCGATAACCAAAATGTATTTCTGTGAGGCGAATACGTCATGACATATTCTGCAAAAATCCAAGGCAGTTAAGAAAGTAGGATCTATATACTCCAACCAATGATTGTGGAAAGACTTTTAGAGTACTGACGAATGAAAATAAGAACTGTGTAGACGACGGACTTTGGCTAAGACAATTCATAATAATCTTTATAAGAAGAATGCAATAAAGACAAGAAAATGATGATAAAAACTATTTCAGTATCTTTATGACATCGTTGTAAGTACCAAATAATCTATTTTATTGGTATATGGACTATGTCAAGCCAATTTTCTGAAATAAAACAAGACAGTCTTTACGCACTAATGCCATTATGTTCGACACATTTTGAGTTCATTTAAGTACAATTTATTGACGCTACTACAGTTCAATATAATCAATTGTCGTTCGACACATTTTGTCTTTAATAAATAATTTTATAAATCAACTGATAATTTTCTGTAAGAGTAAGTTTTTCTTTCTATTACCCCCTTTAGGATCCATGATCAATTGCATTACCCCCTTCCCCCTATAAATCCCTACCAAGAGATGATTTTTCTCTATCTCTATTTTCGACTACAAAGCGTCTCATTACCCTCAGAATTTCAAAAGTATCATCTTAGGAGTAATTACACCCAAGTTGAAAACCCCTGCCATAGAAAATAGAATAGCACGAGTCATGGATTCTGATCCGATGTGGAAACGATTTGCTTTTTCACTTTCTACCATATCGATAATCCCAACGGACCCTACACTATTCATCTTACTCTATCCAATTGCACACCCGGGCGACATTAAGAGTGTCGGTCGTTTAATTGCACAATCTTGTGACAAAGTTGTGTACCAATGTCAAACTGTTTGATATGGATTACCTAGGTTATCCCTATTAATGTACAAGTAAGAAGGCGTTGACAATTAATTACAAGAAATTGAAGATGTGTAGCCATATCAATATAAATAACTGAGTAGGCGAAACAAGGAAATTTTCATTCATTGATAACTGAAAGCAGTATTGTATAAGAGCCACAGATAATTTTAACGCTTATAAAATAGACGCAACCGACTATTCCCAATTGACCAATTTTAAGCACACCCCCATGGCTTTGCATCACTATTAGCATGGACTGCAATTTTCATGTACATCTTGGAGAGGCGGAAAAGCCATCGAACTTGACATATATGCTTATATATGCTTATTTTCAATTTTAATGAACCCTTTTAACCAAATAGACTGAAAACCAATGCGCTTTTCTTATCTACTGGGTGAAGGCGGAATGAAATTGACCGATGATGTAAACTCGGCAGACAATTAGAGCAAATCATGGGGTTTTAATGATAGTAGTTAAATATAATGATAAATATCTATTAGAATGGTAGTTATAACACAAGGTCTACTATCAAATCTACAAAAATTAAATCCGTCCTTCATTCATGATCGTCGACTTGAACATCCTAAAGGAAATTACTGCCAATCTTAATACTTTATGTTCCACACGCAATCATACTATCATCCAATTCTTTTTCTCATGTCAGCCTTTTACAATTCTTCAATTTAATGAAATATAACAGCTCGAACTTATGAAAAGACTTTAAATTTAATCTTAACATATAGACATACTGATTTATTTCTCAATAGATGAACAACGACCAAAGTATATCAAGCAATAAATTCACTTAAAGACTCAAACTTTCAAACAAAATTTTGTCTATTTTGTTGTTGTTGGTGGATTGTTGATAGTAGTATATGAGCTTATAGATTGGTCGCATAGGGGGGATTCCCCATTCCATTTCATTTCATGGGGAAAATGCAACCAATATATAAGCTCCCAAAAAGACCTAATATCCCTACATTTCATAAATTCTTACACTTAAAGATCTAAACTCCCTGTAAATTATTACACCCTATTCTCCCTACATTTCATACACTAAAAACACATTCAATCAATTTCCTACATTCCATAAAAAAAAAGAGTATATGAGCTTACAGATTGGTCGCATAGGGAATTCCCCATTCCATTTCATTTCATGGGCTCAATATATAAACTCCCAAAAAAGACCTAAATTCCCTATATTTCATAAATTCTTACATTAAAAAACACCTTCAATCAATTTCCTACATTCCATCAAAAAAGCATATTAAAAATACCCTTATATAAAATAACATATCATCCGATTTTTAATAACCTCGTTTTAAGTAATGTAGAAGGGAGATAACTCTTTTTTGGATAAAAACAGACTAAATTAACTCATTTAAAAATAGGATGAGTTCAATTCTAAAACACGAACAACACAGATTCGAAGATTATTCGGGCGACGGTATCTTTTGTTCATTATTTTCTCTAGGTAAAACAATAATTCCAAAAGTAGCTGGCTTTGTTTCAAAAAACAAATCACTCATTTCAAGCGGAGCGAAAGCCGTCGGCTCAATCGCTGAAGCGGCAAAGAGCATAAGCGACACAGTGAAACAATCTAACGAGTTGAAAGAATTAGAGCTAATAAGAGAACTTCGAAACAGGAGATTAGAAGAAAGGAAAGGAAAAGGTTTTAAAGTTATAGGATAAAAAATGATTGTCGCTGAGGCTCCAAAAACTTATTTCGGTTCAGGAGATATACAAAAATCATTGGGTTCTCTTCCTGGATTTCCATGGGCAAAATATCCCAGAGAAAAACATCTTCCCGGTCATAATTACACCGGTCCAGGTACTAGGTTAGATATGCGATTAGACGAAAACGATAAACCCAAACCAGGGGAAGAACCTGTCAATAGAGTTGACGCCGCTGCGCTTAAACACGACATACTTTCCAGAAATAAAGACATAAAGTTTAGACACGAAGCAGACAAACAAATGATAATCGAACTTGAAAATATTCCAAATCCAACTTTCAAAGAGAGAATGGAAAGAGCATTAATCATTAAACTGTTAAAAGCAAAGATGAAATTAGGTATGGGATTGGCGGATGAAATTCATAAAGAATTTAGAAAAACTAAAAACTTTTTAAAAGTCAAAGTGTTTGAAAAAGAGGAAATATGGTCAGCCGATTTAATTCATATGCCAGTCGAAAGAGAATTTAAATATTGCTTAACAGTTATAGATTTATATACGAGATATGTATGGGTTATTCCTCTCAAAAACAAAACGGGATTATCAGTCAAACACTCATTTGAAACGATTATGAAACAATCTAACCGTCATCCAGAAAGACTGTGGGTAGATAAAGGAAGTGAATTTTATAACAAAAATATGAAATCTCTGGGATTTGAAATTTACGGCACGCATAACGAAGGTAAAGCTGTAGTTATTGAAAGATTTAACAGGACTCTAAAAAATAAATTATTCAAAAAGTTCACGGAATTGAAATCCCAAAAATGGCTTAAAATATTACCAGTTGTTGTCGACGAATACAATAACAAAAATCATTCATCTATAGGTGTCACACCAACACAAGCCTCGAGTAATCCAAATATTATAAAGTCAATTAACGCGCAACATAACTACGAAAATGAAATAAAGAATTTAAATATCAAACCCAAATTTAAAGTCGGAGATCGAGTTCGTATTTTTAAATATAAAAGCAAATTCGAAAAAGGTTACGTTGGATACTGGATGAACGAAATATTCATCGTTGATAAAGTAAACAGCACATCACCTCCGACATATGAATTAATCGATCAAGACAAAGAACAAATCATAGGAAGGTTTTATCAAAATGAACTTCAAAAAACCGACTTTTAAAAATGAATGAATTTCTCGATAAATATGGAACTGATACGACCACAAACTTTCAACTTATGAGATGGGCGAAAGAGTTAAATATATCACCGTTTTATTATTGTATGAGAGATGAAATAAATGATCTGAAATATAAGAAAGGTAAATTTTACGCTATAACAAATATACATACTTCCTATCAAAAAGGAGTTCATCATTCTCCTTTGTACAAAGACTCTGACTTTTATTTCTTCGATTCTTATGGATTAGAACGCACTGAAGAGAAAATCCAATTGACTAATAAACCAATCAAATGTTCAACATTTCAAATTCAATTACCGGGACAAAAGTTTTGTGGTCAACTTTCACTTTGGGTTTTATATCAGTTGAGTTTAGGAAAACAGTTCGAAGAAATTATAATAAATTTAACTCAATAAAAATGGCAAACAAGTTTGGATTAGGTTCTTTATCTTTAGAAACCTAAAAACCTAACACAACAGCGTGGATAAATAAAGCGAAACCTTACTTCCTGGATCAAATCGGAGACACTCTTCAAGGTGATTTAGATATGAACAATTTTAGCATAACTAATTTAAAGTCTCCGGAAAACGATAATGATGCCATTCACAAGAAATATTTAATGGATCAATTAAATTTAATTGGAGTAGATAAAGAACGTTTAAAAGAAAGAATAAATGATGTGAAAAGATTCTTCAAACGACAAATAAATAATAAAGATTTTATTGATGATACTAAACTGCAACAAGAGGTACAAGGATTAATAAGTTTTATTCAAAAAGAATTGGTCAACGTAGTGAACAAAACTGAGTTACAAAATTTAATTTCATTAATATCTAAATTAGAGGATAAGATTGCAAAACAAAAATTAGACATTCAACAATTGATAGATAACATTCCAGATGAAAATACGTTTCAACAGGAATTAAATGCTCTGGAAACTAAACTTAACAGTGAATTACAAAAAGAACTAACAAATATTAAAAAACAAATACAAAACATAGATATTGTTATTCAACAACAAATACAAAACATAGATGATAGCGAAATCAGAACCTATATTCATCAACAAATACAGAACATTGATGATAGTGTTATTCAACAACAGATAATCACTATTAATAACCTAGTTTTAAAACAGGACAAAAATATACTCGCATTAGAAAAAAGTATCTCAAGAAAGAATCATATTATTTCAATCTTCCATTTATATATTTGGGTTTTTATAGTGCATCTATTACTGATAATATTGATAAATCAAAAGACTATGAATATAAAATATTTGGATTTACAGCAAATATCAGACTATATTCTGTTCGAGATTATACTATTCTAAAAATTTTTGATGATGATAATGATGATTATCCTCCAATAGAATTTACTTTCCGAGGAAAACTTATAATTGAAATTACTTTCCCTTTTCAGGTAAAAGTTGATTCATTATTCTTCAGACAAGATACAACAATATCTAATAAAAAATTTAACGCTCGTAAAGTTCTTCAGTTTATCAATGGTACAAAAAATGTAGAAACTAAAGAATTAGAAATTAACGACGAAAACACCAAGGTTAATCACTTATATGAAATTAAAACCAGTGGAAAATATATAAATAGGTTTAGAATGTTAATCATACCAGATAAAGAAGAAGATGAATTTATATTGAGTGATTTTGATATGATATTGGAGACGGAAACTCCACCATCAATGAATATTATTAGAAATCCAGAACCAGAAAAAAAAAGATATAAGCGGTTATGAGTTTTTACTAGCAACAGACTTTGAATACGTAAAACTATATTTTGTTGATAATGATATATTTACCTCAATTGATATTCATAAAAGTCAACAAAGTCAAAATTTTTTAATAAGAGATGATGCATATGTTAATATAATAATCTATATTGAAAAAATTTTCAGTTCATCTGAATAAGATTAATGATTCGAAAGAACAAATATCGTTAGTATCTGTAAAACTTTTTTTCGAAGATAGTAAACACGAAGTAGCTTTATCAGAAGTTCACTTAATTTAATTACCTAAAAATGGAACTCGAAAGTAGACAAAACTACATGATAGAAAAACAAAACGAACTAAAAGAAAAACTAAAACAATTCAACAAATGCAGAAAAACATGGAGTAGAATCGATTCTGTTTTCAAAACATTAAGTACAGTTTTAACAATAGGGATAACGGTGGCAACAGCCGTAACCGGTGGATTAATGCTTCCAATAATTGTCCCAATTGTATTAGCCGCGTTCACTGCCGTTCAAACTTCATCTTGTGGTTTGATTACTTTAGGTTTTACATCAAAACAGAAAGCTCATTATAAAAGGAAAACAAAAATTTTAAATACATATCTTAATAAATTGTTTATATTTTTCGAAAGATCGAGAGAGGATAAGAACATAACCATTGTAGAATTAGAAGAATTCAATGAAATTTTAGATAAATTTTATGTGGAAATATCATCAATAAAAGTTAAAAATTCCTAGTTAAAAATAGTTGCTTTAAAAATATGAATAAAATTGAAATTGTAGACGATAAAAAATTCATATCAATGAAAATTTTAGACGATATTATTGACAAGATTATCTCTGATGAATTAAAAAATATGAAAAAAATTGATAAATTCATATCAAATGAACTTTTTTCCGATGTTATTAAGCTTATCTCTGATGAATTTATACATTTAAAGGGCAAATTGAAATAGTTGGAGAGATAACTCAAGATGGAAAATACAAACAAGACATGAAATTTGTAGGTTTTAATACCAAAACTTTTGTCAATTTCTTCGCTGCAGTGGATGAAAAATCGGATGCCTCCGATTGGTATTTCACAGGAAAACTGATTTTCCATAAAAACAATTTCAAAGAAATAAAAAGATCAAAAAAGGGTAGTGGTGTTACCCTACTCAAAAAGATAAAAGAATATATTGGTATAAATTGTTATATACCGAGCGATGGATGCTGCTTTGTAAAGTGCGTTAATCGTGTTTTAAGCGAAGACTACACGAGAGAATTTCAAGATTTCATCAACACTTTTTCAAAATCAAACAGAAAAGGAGTTATGACAACTGCTAGAATCTGCGAATTCAATAAGAAATTCAATACTAATTTTCAAATTTATATGCCCAAACATAGACATTTTCAACCAAAGAAAGTAACCGAAGAATTAGATTGGGTTTTTTTTATTTACACAAAGAACATTTCTGTTTGATAAGAAGAAATAACAAAGCTTTGGGCATTAAAGAAATAGAACATAATTACGATGAAAACGTATGGAGAACTTGTGAAGATGATAATGCGGTAACGCAAGTTTCACCTCTAAAACTAAACGTTTTTCCAACCATTCCCGATTATTGTTTATACGCATGGAATTGCGAAACCTATTGCGAAAAAGAAACGAATAAAGCCATTCCTTATTGTTGTACTTTAGTCAATTTGGAAAAACTGAGGAAAAGGTTAGATGATTATAATAATTATTTAAGTGACTTTAATGAGACTCTAGATTTTAAGCCGTCAGATCCCATTTCAGAAGAATATCAAACATACTCATGACTAATATAGTAGAAATATTTGTAGGTACAGATTGTATTGATCAAATGTTACAACGTTTAGGAAAAGTAGATCAGATAAGACTAACCTTAATTTCCCATAACGGCAGTGGTTTTGATAACTGGATCATAATCATAAACGTAAAAAACTAACACAATGCCCTTTAAAAACAGCTAGAGGAATTCTGTCTTTACCTTTAACTATTTCATTCACTGATGAAGATTTACAGAAAAAATGGAGAAGACAGAAAGAAATAAAGGGTAACTCTAATTATTTGCAAAATATTAATTTCACATGTTCCTATCAACATGAAAAATCTAGTTTAGCGGCATGGGGAAATTCATCTGATCTACCAATGAATTTGAGAAAGATCGAGGATGTTAATATTGCAAAAATACACTAAAGATAATTGGGAATCTTTAAGACACGAATGGGAACCTTACGCTAAAAGAGATACGTTGTGTCTCGGAGCTTGTTTGATAAAATACAATCAAGCAATGAAAAAAACTGTCTTCCAAAACGTTTCCAATAATCTAACGGCTCCTTCTTTATCTTTAAAGGGTTGGTATTATTTATATCATTACGATAAAGAAATGGTTGAAGAAGAATGGTATGAAACTACTAGAATGGTTCCCAAACACACCGAAAAAGAAAACGTAGAAAAAGTTTACTCGCATACTCACCCTTTTATAAGATATTTTATCAGACAAAGTATTAAAGGAGGAAGAGTTTCGGCAAATCGAAAATAATTTGAAACGGATAAAATGAATGAGATCTGCGCCATATTAAAAGAATACAATGAAAGTGACACTGAAGGAATAATAGATTTATTCAAAGAATACAGTGTTAACTCAAAAGATAAAACGGAAGTTCACGCTAAACTTAAAGAACTGGACTATTCTAAACTGATGGCATTTGACGCTAGAGCAAGAGCGTTTCTACCAGAAGAAGAAAAAGACAATAAACAAAAATTCAGACCTAGAACTGCTATTTTAAAAGTCTGGTTTGAATATCCCAAAAAAATGTTCTTTCAAGCCATACCAGCTAAAGATAAAATAACTTTTACGAATAGAATAGGTAAGAAGGAAACTGGCACTAAAATCAGATTCAGAAATGGTTTCTGCCACGATGTTTTAACATCGGTTGATATTCAAGAAATAGTGAAATCCGGTGGTAAAATTATTAAAATATTAGATGGTATAGTTTACGAAGAAAATTTTAAAACTCCACCATACAGAGATTATATTTTAATTTTGAAGGGATTAAGGAATAAATACAAAAAAGAAGGAGATATGGTTGCTAGTAATTGCATGAAATTATTAGGTAATTCCTTATACGGTAAATCTATTCAGAAGGATATAAATACATCGAGACATCTATGGAGTGAATCGACTTTTAAAGCCAACTTCGATTCACACGTCAAAAGCTATGAAAAAGTAAATGATAGTCAATATATAGTTGAGATGAATGAAGAAGAAAAAGAGTTTGTTCCTCCAAAGGATTTTACTAGATTAACACCCGCTCATTTAGGTGCATTTATATTATCTCACAGTAAAAAAAATAATGAACAATTTCATTCACGTAACTTCTGAAAACTTTCTTTTGTTTTTCATTAGGAATAACTATTCCATCAGTAAAACTTTTTACCCAAGGTTTCTTAAATTCATTCGTTACGTCATGTCCACTAGCTAATCGAATATAATCTTCGACGCCTATCTTATCTTTAGAATAACCCTTAAACGTTTTCTTTTCTTTTAAAACACCATCGGAACTTAGAATGATATTGTATTTTACTTTTGGCGCTAAATATAAACCAAATATGATTCCACCATCACCATAATCATTCTTCCCTTTGCTTTATTCGTTTTCAGACACCAACCCAGCTTCATTTAATTTATCCCAATTGCTAGACGAAATGTATAAACTATCAGTATCTGTATAGTATATTTCCGGCTTATAAAATCGATCTATTATTATCTGAATCTCGTTAAGAGAAAAGCACCGTATGAAGAAGGAATTATGTATCCTTACAACGACGGAAAAGAATTAAACATAGATGAAAACTATGAATTTGATGATCACGATTATCTAACTATTCAAGAAGAGAATGAAGAGTGTTAATGTTTTTGTTTTAAATGAAGTTGAATAACAATTTCCTCGTTACCAAAATCTATAACCCTATTTTTACCATCTTTGATTTCCAGATTTATATCTTTAATCATAAAGGAATTAAATGGTAAATACGTCGTTTGAAATGGTTTCTCTATAATTCTATATCCTATCAGTACAGTGAATGTTGGAAGACTGTAAATAATCTGACGTTTGTATTTATTGAAAAATCCACCGTTTATTAAATTGCAATGTATATTTATCACATCGATATCATTCTCCATATTAGCTTTGTGTGGTGCTAAAGTGGATTGGGTGTATACTCGTTTATCAAATCCTAGTAACGTATTCAATGAATTTTCTACGTTGAAATCAACTTGACAATTATTTCTTAATATCAATTTTATTTTGTTATGATTCAAATTACTTTCGAATTCAATATTGTTTTTACCATTGACGCTTCCTGCGTATTCAGATAAGTATTCGTTAATGGCTATGTATTCGTAGCTTCTTGGTAGTAAACGTATGGTTTTGAACCTAACTCCGTTATCTGTTGATATTTTTATTTGGTTATTTTTTTCGTTGATATTTCTAATGGAATTGTAAACAGAGAAATACTTTAATCCCAATTCATATTCTTGATTGCGATCGAGTTCGTACTCATAATCTAGAGACAATTTGATGTCTGATTTATTTGAGGTGATGACGAATAGTTGTTCTTTATTTGACATTTTTTATTACGCTTTTATAATCATTTTTATCTATGATACCTTTCTCTATGAGTCTTTTTAATATACAATTCACTTCATTATATTGTCTGTGCGATCGATGTCCTTCCTTCATTGCCGCTAATATTACTCGTAATCTATTAAGTAGTTCCTCGTTGTTGTCGGATAAAAACGTTATACCTTCTCCAGATACCATATCTTCGAATTCATCTATTTCTTGTACGATTGGATAATCTTCTACATAATCATCTGATTCCTATTCATCGAGAATAACTTTATTTAAATATGTTTCAACTGTTTTCAATCTTCTTGTTTCGGGTCCCGACTTTCTTATTGCATGTAGAAATTCTTTTTAATATCCTCTTGAGATCTTAATATGGGTTGAAATAGAGTTTGTAGATTTTCCGTTAATCCGAGTTGTTGTAATCTGTTATTTTCAACTTGGGTCTTCATTTTATTCTAAGCTTTGATATATTCTCTATTTCTTTTTAAAATATTATTCCAATCGCTACTCATTTTTAAAACAATAAAATTAACATATGTCGATCATAACTCTTTCCCCCGCAGGTTTTCTAGTATTTACAAATACATGTCCATGATCATCTGGATTTCTCCATTGAGCTTTACAAACTTTTTTGAATGTATCTCTGTCCATTCCGTGATTTATCGATTGAACGATTTGAGATAAATCTTTGTCGTTTAATTCAAATAATAAAAAACAATTCGCATTTTTTCTAATAAACATAGAATCCATCCCGTAAAAAGATAGGGATTGGTATATGCATTGACAGTTGTGATGTCTTCCTTTCGTGAAGAATTCTTGTTGAACGGCTTGATTTCTTTGCGCTACGCAGTCGTCAAACAATAGTAAGTTCTTTCGCTCGCTATTAATTTTAGACAAATCTAGATCATTAACATTTTTCGTAAGAAAAACTTTTATATCCGTTGGTTTCTTTCCTTTGATGTAGTTATCTATGAAATCTTTTATTTCCACTTCTTCGTTTTCTTCGTAATATTGAAATAGGTCTTGAACATCTTTCTTTGGTAAATATTCTAATGCTTTGAGGAATTGATAATACGATTGCTCTGGTGTTGTTGTGTAGATATACAAAGAATCGAAATCTAAAAGGTTTGGTGTTGTCAACATGTTAAAAGTGAGATGAGTTTTCCCAGAACCGGAACTACCGCATATACACATGAGCATTGGGTTATTAGGAAATATTTCTGAATGATTAAATATTTTACCCATTTTTTATTATTTCAATTTGTTCCAAAAATAACTCCTTCTCCTTTATACTTCGAAAGATATATTCCTTCTCCGGTGTGTATATTTTTTAAAAATATTCCATTACCCTTATCTTTGACTTTGATTTCTCCTGTGTCAATACTATCTACTAATTTATTTAATCCTTGTTTAACAGTTTTCTTGGTTTCTTCACTAAATCTTTTTCCAAATTCTTTCATTGTGCCTATCATTTCTCCCACTCCTGAACCTTTGGCCAACTTTTCCATTTTTAAATTATGTCTATGTTCTTCGGCTGCTGTTACTGCAGCTGCTTTCTTTTCGTTGGCAGTTTTAACTCCATCAGCTGTAACACCAGCGACTGTAGCCGCTGGTGTAATACCAGCAAATATTAAAGGTAGAGAAAATATAAATCCACCTTTTTTTACATTTGTATCAATTCTTTCTAAATCTATATCGTCTCTGACTTTACAATATTTGTATTTATCAATAAGTTTTTTTTAGTTATGTTGATTTTTTTACCGTTGAAAGTTAGTACAGTAGGGGAATCTGTTTCAACAGCTTCTATTATTTTCATAACTAAAGTTTCTACTTTCATTTTTAAGGGTGTATTTTTTACTCAATTCTTATCATTCTTCTATCTGCTATTTTAATTAAATGTTTTGCTTCTTCCAATAATAACCTGTTACATCTCCTTGTGTTTTTTCAATATGAATATTTATGTTCACTCCTGTTTTGAAAAGATCTTCTTGGTGAGCTGATAGATCAAAACAGAAGATTGGGTGATTAATTGCAAAATCTACATATTCAAACTGAGGTAGATTTCCGAATAATTCACACATGTTTTTATAGTTTCTATACAATTCATTATAATCCTTTGTGGTTGGATTAATTGTTAAAGGTTGGTTAGGATAATTATCGTTATTTAATCTTACTTGAACTTTATGGATTAACGGATCTTGAGTTTGGTTCATTGCCACTCTAAAGACATTATTGTTATTCTTTGAGAATCTGGTAAGTTCTTGAAACCAACTATTAAATATCTTGCTGGTTTAATAGTGTTAGTGATTGGCCATGTGGTGGATTCTCCAGTTAAAGTAATGCTACCTACAGTGTTACGATGAAGAAAAGCTATTTCAATATCTTTAGTTAATGAGTTGAATATTCTCGTTTCTACTTCAATTGATGGTGTTATTACTGGTATGAAAAGTTGGAGATTCGTTATTTCTAATTTTGCATCTGAACCATTCTCTCCAAAGAATATCTTATCGTCGTTTATTTCTCTTTGTAGATGAATTTTATATGGTAACCCTATGGAAACTTTTCCAACAGACCGAATAAAGGATATAATTTCCAATTTACGTAATTACCCCACCTATTATTCTCAACAACATTATTATACTGAAGTACTCGTTTTTCGAATCCATGATTAGCTGCTCGTCCTACTCTTTCTATCGTGTTTCGAGCAACAACTCTCACTCTAGCTAAATCGGCATCATTTGAAAGATTTCTTACCGGTTCCTTTAAAATACTTCCATCACCAACATCGGGTATCTAACCTGAGACTGAATCGAAATCTTTAGGATATAAAACTGTTTTCAACATTGACTCGAATTCCCCAGGGTGTTTGATTGTTTCTATCGGATTTGAACCAGCTTCCAAAACCATCTCGCTAAATAAAGATGGAAAGAAATTGTTTTCTAACGTTGTATTTTTTTGTGGAACTGAGTTCCATCCTTAATTTTGAAATCGCATCTGAAATAAGCATCGGAAAGAAGCAACCAATTCGATAATGAATTTATTTCGAAGGTAATTCTACCACCATCATTCATTTGGGATTTAGAACCAACAGTGGGTGAGATGATAATATAATCCTCTTTTTTCTTGTTAAACGAATAACGAATCGGATCGTATAATCTGAAGATTGGATCTAGTATTTTATTTGCCATTTTTAAGGTTTAAAATTTGAGTAGAAAATTTCAAAAAAGAGTTATCTCCCTTCTACATTATTTGAATATGCTTTTTTTTTGATGGAATGTAGGAAATTGATTGAAGGTGTTTTTTAATGTATGAAATGTAGGGAATTTAGGTCTTTTTGGGAGCTTATATATTGAGCCCATGAGATGAAATGGAATGGGGAATTCCCTATGCGACCAATCTATAAGCTCATATACTCTTTTTTTTGATGGAATGTAGGAAATTGATTGAATGTGTTTTTAGTGTATGAAATGTAGTGAGAATAGGGTGTAATAATTTACAGGGAGTTTAGTGTAAGAATTTATGAAATGTAGTGAATTTAGGTGGAAGAATTTATGAAATGTAGGGATATTAAGTCTTTTTGGGAGCTTATATATTGGTTGCATTTTCCCCATGAAATGAAATGGAATGGGGAATCCCCCTATGCGACCAATCTATAAGCTCATATACTACTGTTGATTGTAAGGCAAGATAAGTGTAGAAAATTCTGAAAGTCGACTTAAGATTTTCATCAACTGGCAGCATAGTTTGCTAA